GAGCACGTTATATACGGCTCTACAGCCGCGGCATCTTCAACATAATTGCGTACACACACTATCTTGAAAGTCGCAACTTTCTCTTAGATAAGAAATACAGAAATTTTAATTCAGAAGAACTTTACTGTTTTAACGATACAAAATGTCGATCATTTTCGCAATATAAACAATAAAAATATTGCAGGATTTTGATAAAATAGTCTAGAGATAAAAATTGCATGTAAATAAAAACTATGTAATATTTTTCCATTAAATGAAGCATATTTTTAAATTTAAAAACTTTTTTTATTTAAAGTATATTTTTTTCCGCACTTTAACAAATTACAAATTTTTCAATGCAATTTTATTTCGAATTACTTGTTTATTTACATTAGAACTACCATTTATTTCCTCGTCCAATTATTCGAATATTTGAAATTTGAACGTACCCAACATAGTAATTGTGTTTATTCGCGTATCCTTTCCAATTGCTTTAAAAAACAATAGACCACAAAAAATACATTAATTATGTAATTTTTTAAAATTAATTAAATATTTGAGCATTGTTGCAAAATGAAAAAATGTACTAGTTCTTTTGATAAGTTTTGTATATCTTCAGGGTAAAACATATCTCGTAGTTATGTTACGTAATATAGTGTGCATAGCAATGAATATCTCATTGCCTTAATGAAAATTCCTCTTAACTTTGTGTTTCTAAGTTTATACAAGGTTCACACGAAAGCTGTTTTAAAATTTTCCAACATACTTGCGCAAGAGAAGCCTGAAAAAGTTACGAAGAGCGAAGTTACATAAAAGTCTCATTAAAATCAAGAAACGTGGTGGTGTTACTAGGTGCGCAATTAAGTTTCCGGGTTTTTTTTATCAATGCAAAATGGAAAATTTCAAGAGAAATACAAAAAACGGTTTATTCAAAGTATCGTCCCTCGCTAGCTACACATTTTTGCCATCTCTCTGGCAATACATGAATACCGCGACGATAAAACGACGCGTCTTTGCATCGAAACCATTTATCCAATCAGTTTTGCACTTCTTCGAAATTGGCCAAGTGTAGCCCAGCTAAGCCATGTGCCATCGACCGGAACAAGTGATAATTGGAAGGGGCCAGGTCTGGTGAATACAGCGGGTGCGGTAGCAGATCCCATTTCAGCGTTTTGATGGTGTCCTGGACGATGGAAGTGCGATGGCACGGAACGTTGTCGTGCTGCAATATCACTCGTTCGTGTCTCGTGTCCCATTCTGGCCGTTTTTCGAGCAATGCATGGTTCAAATTTATCAGTTGTTGTTGTCTTGTGTTTG